CAAGAATCTCTATAACTCTATATCATGGCATTATAGCCTAGAACCTGAAGTATATTAGTTATAAACTTAAAACTATACCCATGATAAATCTAGACAATTAATGAGAGTTATATGTAATTAAGGATTGCATATATAACAATCATTGTATAGGCCTAATAATAGGGCTATAGTGTAGAATAAATTTAGACAATTAAGCAATGAGAGTTATTTGCAACTAGAGTTATTTGCAACTAGAGATAGCATAAGAATCATTGTATTGGCGGGGATTATGCAGACCAAATCCTTTCTATATATGGTTAAAGGATTCAATGAATGGTTGTGGGTTCTCTTTATATGATTGGATTTGTAATCTTGAATTATGTGTTAAATTAGTAGGTATATAACTATGTGATGTTTTTTTTACACTAGTAAGATTTGATATGAATGGGCATGAGTACCTCTTGTACTCCAAATTAATAAAATTTCTTTCGTTGATAAGAAAAAAAAAGATAGGGTTATAGTGTAAAAAGAAACTCGCCATAAGTATCTCTAGCTATTGGATAACTCACCTAATTGTCTTTGCCAAACTGATGCGAAAAAGGAAACAAAGATCTAGAAAAGCTTCTCATTTTATGTGAAGTTTATCTAGATCCTTACATATGCGGCCTTTTCTATATAAGGTGACATCTCCTCTAGCAGTTATAATGGCAAGGAAACAAGAAGTAGCCTTAAATCTTCTGTTCAATTTTCTCTCTGTTGTTATTTCTGCAATGGCAAGTCAGAGAGACCAGCTAGCCAAGATTGGATTGGGAGGTTTGGCACTGATAGATGAGTACTACAGCCACGGTACTCAGCACAAAATGTCATCTTCTAGGCTTCATCCTCCGCCACCACAGGTACATTTCATTACCATCAACATTGTCAATACCAATATCATCAGTCTTTGATTTATACGGTAAAAGAGCCTGCAACCATATATTATGGTGGATATATTACATGAATCAAAGGCCCGGATTTCTGAAGCAGGAGAGACTGTGATTAACAGCAATGAAGCAGCGAAGTACTATGGTGGGAGAATCATTTTAGATTATGGCAGGAAATGAAATGCTTCAATGGGATTATTATTATTATTATTTTTTTTTTTTTTTTGATCAGCCAAAGAAATTTTAAATTAATGAAGCACAAGGGGTGCTCCTGCCCATATACAAAAATAGGAGACCACAACAGAGGAAAGCCAATCACCTAATAACCAGCAATTGAATAAGCTAACAAACCGCATGCAATAACAAAAAGCGTCAGGGGCCAAAACTAAACATTTGAAGACGATACAGCCCCGCCTATCCATCAACTGGAGGGCACGCAAGTTTTAAAGAACTGCTTCCTCATCCTTTTATGGATTTTGACAAACATAGCACACTCCATTGGACAAGATTGCCATTCGTAAAAAGAAAAAACGCAGCCATTAACTTTGGATTTTATCCAGATAAATGTTTTAACTTGCATCCTTTCCAGCAGGTTTTCTGGTAATCCTTCATCTTTTCGAAACACTTGAACATTCCGCCTATACCATAAGTACCAGGTGACCACTAAAAAAATACATGAACCTATCTCCTTTCCAACAATTCTGCCCACGCCACCAATAAAAAAATTTGCCATTCCCCCAACTGTATTAGGCAAAACAGACTCCAAACCCCACCAATTCAACACCTGAGTCCAAGCTAACCATGCTTTATAACATAAACAAAATAAATGGTTAACTTCCTCCACCTTCTCATTACAGAATTCGCAAAATACCCCCTCCTGTAACAATATCCCGCGTTTTTGCAAGTTTTCTTTTGTTGGGAGTCTATCTAAGCACAGACGCCAACCCAAAAAAAGCCACTTTGGATGGCACCAATCTGCACCCTAATAATTTGCACATCTGGTCCTCCAAAATACTCTCCGAAGAAGCTAAAAAATCATACGCTAGCTTCACCCCATATTTGCCATCCATCGCATGAGTCCACTTCCAAACATCCCCTGCCCCCTCCTTTAGCTTAACCCCCTCCAGCACGTTCTCCAATAGCCCCTCCTCATCTTTCTCTCTCCCTATTGTACCCCTCCTCCACTCCACCCGCCAATGCCATCTCCCCTCTTCCCAATACCCCATTTCAGAAACCTTCCCTTCCTTCTTCATAGATAGAGCAAATAATCTTGGAAATAAATCCCTAAGACTTTTATCACCAATCCACCTATCAGACCAAAAACCCACCCTATTTCCTTCACCTGCCTCCCACTTAAACCCCTTAACCAACATATTCCTAAGTTTGAGAGATAGCCCCCCTATCCTAATAATGTCCCTCCAAATCTTTGACACCTTTAAGCAATCAATCATAGAAATATCGACCTCCCTCCTTCCCCCATAATATTTCTCCCTCACCACCCTTTTCCATAAGCTCTCGACCCCGTCACCTAATCTATACCACCACTTACCTAGCATTGCCCAATTTTTTCTCTGTAAATCTGGCACCCCAAGACCCCCCTTCGCCTTAGCACGACATACATATTCCCATTTAACCCAAGCAATCTTCTTATTTAACTCTAGCCCGCCCCATAAAAAACTCCTTTGAATTCTAATCAACTCCTAAAGCATAGACTTAGGTAATAAATATAAAGACATATAGAAAATAGGGAGTGCAGAAAGTACTGAGTTTAGCAAGATGAGGCGGCCTCCAAAGGAAAGAGTAGCGGCCTTCCAGACAGCGAGTTTGGTATGGAATTTATTTACAACCAGCTCCCATAATTTCTTATTCCCAGATTTACCGTCAATGGGCAATCCCAGATAAAGGAAAGGTGCACGACCAACCCTACAATGTAGCATACCCACTGATCCTTTTAGCCATTTCTCCGGCACATTATAACCAAAAATACTGCTCTTGCTAAAATTAATCCTCAAGCCTGACCTAAGCTCAAACCATTTAAGGATGTCCTTCACCGTACGTATATTCTCAGCATCTGCTCTGCCCATAATAACTGTATCATCAGCAAACTGGAGCTTCAATGGGATTATTATCCTTTCAATAGCTCTAGTTACTTAATTTGTAACAAATTTCCAGCTAAGTACTGTACTATAGTATGTGAGTCTTACAGTAAACTTGTTGCAGCTAAAAAAAAAAAAAGGAAAGAAAGAAAGTCTGTATATTGCAAATGCTATGAAAAGTTCATTGTACTTTGCACTATCTATTTGTCATTTAAAATAGAGATGTTGGGGGTATTAACTGGTTTAGTTTGGATAAATTATTTAATTTGTTTGCTTATGAATATATTCTGATTAGCATAAATTTATTTGGTTGGGAGGACTCTTTTTTCTATATGCAAATTTGATCTCTTTCTCATTAAATTATCTGACCCACTCTTCATCGATGTTTTAAATTAACAATTCATTAGAGACCTGACTAATTTAACAGTAATCTCCATTAAATAAATAACTATTCATTAGAGATCTAAATAACCCAATGTTAGTCTTCCTAACCAAGGCAACCTCAAACCATAAGAAAGGAAGAAAGGAAGAAATGACGAAAGGAAGATGAGATAATAAAGGATTCCTTTTTATCATAAATGGAATCATAAAAACATCAAATTAAGGAAAAGAGGAGATCAGATATATAGCTCTTTACGAAGGCCAAAAAAAAAAAAGAATTATAGCTTTTTACACCAAATTGTAGGGGCAGATAGAATAATTTTTTTAAGGTAATAAAAAATTAAATTTATTTTAGTATTGAACGGCCCGCTTCAGTCTAGTGGTATTGGACCCTTGGTTAGGGCTGTTTACTTCCGTAGGTTGCACGTTCGAGTCCCACGGAACCCTTTTCCCCCTTCCTCCAATTAACCCTGTAAATAATTATAAATTATTCAAAAAAAAAAAATCTATTTTAGTGTTTGTCTACCGACAAATTCAACTTTACATGCCCGAATTCCAAATCGGGATGGTACCAAGTTATTTCATTTGCTTTTTAGAAAATAATTTCTTGTGAGTGGAGAATAACTTTTTCATTTTTTTGTTTGAATTATTAAAATAATTTATTTTGAACATAATGAAAAATCTTCAATTTATTAGAAGTCAGGAGTGTCAGTGTGACTTGGTCTTGTGGGGCAAAGAGGATAAAGGTTT